GGAGAGTTTTTAAAAACTAATTATCAATAAATAGGAGGATTTGAATTCTCTGTGATCAGTGATATTGAAGTGCTTGGCAGACCTCAATGATAGGGTATGGTATTCTGCCCAATTGGTTTACACTCTGTAAGGCTAAGGAATTTAAAGTCACTATGGCATTTGACAGTTCACTAGCTGCCATTTCTAGCACCCCTGATCTGCCAAGAATGAATGTCCATCAGAAGTACTGGCGTATGAACACACTGACTCATAGCTGCTCATAAATCTCTGATATCCAGCCATATTTTAGAATAATGTTCAGTTTCTGTGCAGTAAGTCAGTGGAGTGAATCTTGGGTTTTTTCCACTGTGGGGGTTAGCCATAGGTTGGCAGATGTTGTATGCTTTCTTCTTTGAGTGAAATCTCTTAAATACAGACTCTATAGAAATAGTGATAGGTGCTGCTGCTGCCTTTATTTAGCAAGTGTGCACCTATAATCATAATCATGTCACCTCAACAGATAACTCTGACAACCACAGTCTGGTCTCACAGTGTTGTTGATGGTCTGAAGCCCTCCTCCATCTCAGTCCAATCCTGTGGGTGTTGGAGGTTTTCTTCCTTTGCCTGTGCCTAGGAGTGTGTTACTGAGATCCGCTGTGGAGTCATGGTAAGTCAATCATAGTAATGATAGTGTGATGACGGTGATGACAGATGACAAGCTGGAACACTCAAGCCTGAGGAGTGTAATGTTGTAATGGGAAAGAAGAGAAACTTGTGGCCGGCACATACGTAAAGTGAGAGTCCTATGCTGAGATACAAGCTAACAAAATTAGCTGAGAGCTATCTGTACTTAGGTCTGCTGTCAGCTGGGAAGCATGGGCACAGTGGGGCTGAAATACCATCTGGTAATGATGTTGCTCTGAGCCCCTCTTCCTCCCGGTCCTGGCTACCCCGGCCCCTTCCCTGGAACCCCAGCCCTAAGATCCAGCCACTGAGAGGCAACTCATGGCACAGCAGGGGCCTCCAGCTGGCATTTCTTCTTACTGGCTGATTGATTTCCATGCTGTATAGTAGTTATTAAATAATTTATCAGTTCTGTTTATATGAAAATAATAACACAACATCAGACAGCATGGGTTAGTTGCAGAACCAGATGACTCTACTCTAGGGTCTTGGTGGTTGACAACAGCAAAGATGTATTTGCCACTCGCACTACATGGCTGTGCCCCGTGTCTTCCCCACGCTGGGACCCGGCTCATGGAGCAGCCTGACTCCTCATGGACAGAGAGGGGACAGAAAGGGCATGGTTTCCTGAGGGCTGCCTGGGGAGGTGCTGGGGAGGCCCTGTGCCACCTCACTTTAGTTTCAGATGGGATCTGATGATACCTGCTCAGTGTCAACACTCAAGTGCATTCTGTCTTTGCTAACTATTCCCTGCTGTCTGCTGTAGCCTGAGGCCTTAGGTTAGTGGTCTCCAAACTTCTTTAATTATGTCCCTCTAACAGGAACAATTCTGAGCATATATCCCAAAGGTATGTTCATTTCAACTATGACATATTAAACTATGAATCCATTTATTACACATTAATGAAGTTGAAGTTTTAGCTTTTTTTTTTTTTTTGAGAGGGCATCTCTCATATTTATTGATCAAATGGTTGTTAACAATAATAAAATTCAGTATAGGGGGGTCAATGCTCAATGTACAATCATTAATCCATCTCAAGCCTAATTCTCGTCAGTCTCCAATCTTCTGAAGCATAACGAACAAGTTCTTACATGGTGAACGAATTCTTACAGAGTGAATAAATTCTTACATGGTGAACAGTACAAGGGCAGTCATCACAGAAACTTTCGGTTTTGATCATGCAATATGACCTATAAACCATCAGGTCAAATATGAATATTCATTTGATTTTTGTACTTGATTTATATGTTGATCCCACATTTCTCCTATTATTATTATTATTTTTATTTTTAATAAAATGCTGAAGTGGTAGGTAGATGCAAGATAAAGGTAGAAAACATAGTTTAGTGCTGTAAGAAGGCAAATGTAGATGATCAGATGATCAGGTGTGTGCCTATGGACTAAGTATTAATCCAGGCTAGACAAGGGCAGCAAAACATCCACGGATGCAGAAGATTTCTCTCAAAGCAGGGGGGGTGAGGTTCTGAGCCTCACCTCTGTTGATCCCCAAATTCTCACCTGATGGCCCCCCTGCGACTGTGCCTGTCTTAGGTTGTTCCTCCCTTGAGGAATCTTACCCGTCTCTGGCTAACCAGTCATCTTCTGGGGCCATACAGGGAAATGTAAAGTTGGTAAGTGAGAGAGAAGCCATATTGTTTGAAAAGGTTAGCTTTTTACTTCTTTGCAGATTTATGCCAAAGTTTTAGCTTTTTAAGGAATGACTATTAATATAAGTCCTAATACTTAGTATATCCTACTGTTATGGGCTGAATTGTGTCCCTCCCGAAATTCATCTGCTGAAGTCCTCACCCTCATTACCTCAGAATGTGACATTCTGTTTGGAATTAGGGTATATTAGGACATGGTGTCTTTAAGTAGGTAATTAAGTTAAAATGCCTTCAGTAGGGTGGCTCCTAATCTAATCCGAATAGTGTCCTCATAAAAAGAGATTAGGACACAGCAGAGAGCATGTGAAGACACAGAGACAAGACAGCCATCTACAGGCCAAGCAGGAAAAAAACAATGTGCCAACACCTTGATCTTGAATTTCTAGACTATCATTGTCAGAAAATTAATTTCTGTTGTTTCAGCCGCACACAATGGTAATTTGTTTCATCAGCCCTAGCAAAGTAATACACCTGCTTTGGAAATTGTCACTCTATTGTACCTTCATTCCAAAAACATTTTCTTCCAAATATTCCTAAATGGATTCACCTACTATCTTATGCTACAAAATGATGATATTACTATTAAATAAATACCACTTATTATTTATTATAGATCTTCTTAGGCCAGGGGCCCTCACCTGTGGTTACTGTGGCAGTGCCTGGCATAGTAGGTGTACAATAAATATTTGTGAATGAATTGAATGAACTGCAAAACTAAGAGGGAAGCTTTGTGACCCTCACAAGGAGATGGGCTCAGAGAGGCCAGGTGGTTTGCTCAAGGTCACTCGATCTTCTTGCCCCAAAGCTTGCCCTCTTAATTCACTCTCCCATCTTGTTCTGATCCTTCACAGCACGCTCTCACCCTCCCATGCACCTCTGCTTCTCACCTGCAGGAATTCACCATCTCAGGTTGTCATCCCCAGGCCACAGAAAAAGGAGATTAAGAACTGAAAAGCCAAAGAGAGAATCAAAGTGAACCTCATTTACAGCTGGGGAAACCGGCCCCGGAGTTTCCAGGGAGCTAGTGATTCCCAGGGCCACACAGTGCATCTAATTCTTGGTCATCTGCTGGCTTGGCTGAATCGCATCTTCTCAGAGTTCACACTAGTTCACCTTCAAAAGGGAGTATTAGGCCCTCAAATGAGCCCATAAAGGAATGAAAAAGCATGTCCTCAGAATGAGAGAAGATATCTATAATATAAATGCCTGACAAAGGACACAGATCCCGAATTAATATAAAGAACATCTAAAAATCAGTAACAGAAAGATAAATAACCCCATAGAAAAATAGGCAAAAGACTTGAACAGGCCCTCCATCAAAGTAGATACCCAAATGTCCAGTAAACATATAAAATGATGTTCAGAATACTCAGCTACACTAAGCCTCAGGGAAATGAAAATAAATTAAAACTGTAATGTGATACCAGCACACACCCACTAGAATGGATAAAATAAGAAAGGAAGATAATACCTAACTGGGGAGGATGTGGAGCAGCTGGCATCAGATGCTGGTAGGAGTGTCAATTCGTACAATCACTTTGGAAAGCTATTTGGTGGCATCTACTAATGTTGAACATATGCCTAACCTATGGCGAAGAATTCCACTCCTTGGCACGTAACCAACAGAAGCACTGTGGATAAAATGAAAGTTCCTGTGGCCAGGATTCTCACATGGCCCTGGTTGGCTAGCTCACTACACACATGTGGGCAATGCATTGCTATTGACTCTGTATAAAGAGCTCCACCCACTACTCTAGGTCATACTGGCATGGCTGCAAGGCTGCAGGAGAGCAGAGCAGAGGCTGGAGTGGTGGCAGCACTCAGGACAGAGGCCCAGAGGACGGCTGTGCGGTCCGAGAGGCCCAGAGGCAGAGACCAGCTTGCTGCCTGCAGACTCGCTCCGAGTGAACGGGATTTTAGTGACTGACCTGCCACTGTAAATAAAGTTGGTTATAACCCGTTCGCCCCAAGAATGTTTTGCTGTCATCTCTTTGGTCACATTGAATCCATAGTGAACTTACCTGGGGCTGAAACCCATTGGCAAGACATACTGCAGTCAAAATAAATGAACTATACACACAATACATAAAAACAGCATGGATGAATCTCATAAACATGCTGAATACAAGAAGCCAGGTTCAAAACAGTTATTATCATGATTCTATTTACATAAAGTGCAAAAACAAGAAAACTAATCAATGGTGTTAGAGGTGCCAGTTAAAGTTATCTTAGGGTGAAAGGTCATAGCTGGGAGGGTGGCTCCTGGATGCTGTTTAAGTTCCATGTCTTGATAGGTGTGTGTTCACTTTTGAAAAATGTGTCAAGCTGTGCTTACAATTTGTACCATGGTCCATATGTGTGCTGTCGTCAGTGGAATTCACCCTCCACTAAAAGGCCATGCCAGGCTTGTTCTAAACCAATTCTTGAGTTAGCAGCTGTTCTTCGAAATGTAGTCATTTACTCTTGAGGTCAGTGTGAAACCTCTAGCAGGTGCGTGAGCTTTTGACTAGTTGAGGCCTCTAGTTTCTCTTGGGGTTTCCTGGGTAGGGTGGAACATTTTCAGTAGTGTTATCTTGGTCTTTCCTCCAGCTAAAAATGTAAACCATTGGCCTGAAAGAGCCTGTGGGTGTGGTTTGGGCTGGCTTTGCTCCCGGGGTCCTCAGCGATGTGGGGGCAGCCGCAGAGGCACTCAGGGCGTGCTTGGAGGGAGGGCACCCTGCTTTAGCTCTGGCCTGACAGGAAGGAAAGAGAAATACGTCTGTTCTAACACAAAGAAAAACTGACTTCCTTCTCTCCAGAACAGGCTCCCTGCTCTCTTCTCTTGCAGCAAAGGTAGGCTGAGAGTCCAGTCCTCCCGTTTGGGTGGGTTGTTTGAGGGTGTGGGTAGAGATCAAAGTTACTGTAACTTTTCTTAAATGACAGTTGAAGAGGTGCAAAACAAAGACAAAGAATGACTTGTAATTTTACTGAATAACATACCTTTTTGATGTACAGTGATAATGATTTAAATGGAGTGGAGGAAGTACTTTGGAGGTAGTTAAAAAACCAAAGCAAGCCGAATCAATCCAAACCACACTACCCAAAAGTCAGACGGACTGATTGTTTTTTAAAGGTGGTATAGAGTGTTTGATTTCTCCTTTGCTTTGTAAATTCTTATACATACCATTTGTTACTGTTTTGCTTTGCATGTACTTCATAGATTCAGATTGTTTTGCTCACCCATAATCTCTAGTTTGAAGGTGAAACACAAATATAATTTTAAAATGAAAAAAAAAAATTAAATTAGCTGGAGACCAATTTAAATGTCTTTCAACTAAGCTTCTTAACTCCCAAATAAATTTCTTGGCAAGAGTAGAGATTATGAGAAGAAAATGCACATTAGATATTAAGGCTATACTAAGAAGTTAGAATTGGTGTAGAAAAAGATTATTCAGGCAAGGCAGTAGGAAACTCTAACTTCTTAAAGTGTTCTGCCTACACAGAGCATAAGGCTTTGGAGTTAAACAGACCCAGATTAGAGTGTGATTTTAGGTAAATTACTCAATTGCTTCAAGCCTTACACTTCTAATCTGCAAAATGGGCATATTTACCCCATAGTGAGGAATGAAGGTGGAGATAATGTGTGCAGACTGCTTGTCAGACTGTAAGTGCTGAATAAACAGTAGCTTTTGGTACAACAAAGAGTGTTAACAGTTGTGAGGAGTACCTATAACAGTGTGATAATATTAATTCTCATTTCTCTACCCTTGCATAAGAAGAGGTCATGTTTAGGCATGAAAATCATGGGTTTCTATTTCAGTATTTAACTTTGATTCTAAAACAGCATTCTTTTTTTTTTTTTGGTGGCAAGATACCTACCTGAATAAGAAAGAACAAACAGAACCAGCAGCGACCTGCAGTCACGTCTCAGGGCGAGAATGCTTCCCTTCCCTCCTGTCTCAGGTAGGCTTCGAGTTTTCTAGATTTAAGCCCACATATGTGCAACTTCATATATGAAGGACAGAGTCTTAAGGGACCTGAAGCTTAGACAGTTTGTGGAAACTACTTTAAGAAAACGAGTACAAAACTTGGTAGAGAGCCTTGGAGGGCTCCATGCAAGCGAGAGATGCCAAAGCAGGTGCTGCACTAGCTTCCCTGGAAATCCACCTCTGATAGGTGAGCGAGAGACAAGCATTGATAACGTACAGCTCTGTTTCGGTGTCAGGCTTTCCGATGGATGCACAAGTGTATCACCTCACCTTTGGAAAATGAATCTGTCGAGGCTGTGAGTGTGAGTCCAGTTAGGCTGGAAGGTCAGAAATGAGAACTGTTCCTTGGGGGGCCTGGGGCCCCTCATGGCTGCCACAGGCGTCCATAAGGCATGCACACAAGCAAAGGAGGGATGCCGCTTTCAGGGGAAGAGGGCAGGCTAAGCCTCTCCCCGTACCCCGCGTACTAGGCGGCAAGCGCGGAGGGGGGTGTGTGTGGCCTGGGCTGCCTTCGGAAAGGGAGCAGCGTCCCCAGGAAGCAGCTGTGGTAAGGCGGTGGAGCCGCGGGGCCGCTGAGCGGACCTGCGTGGGGTCCGTCGCAGCGCTGTGGCTTCCAGGCTGTGAGAACCTTCTGTAGTCGCATGAAAGTCTGGGTGGGGTTGACAGTCATGTTTCCACACATGCACACCGCTACCATGTGCCACATACCCACCCCAGTGTCATTTTCCTCTCCAGCAGAGTGAGGCGGGAAGCGCGACTTCCTGTGACCTGATGACCAGCCGTCCAGAGGTGAGAGATGCCTGGATGAAGGGGACAGGGGGCCACTACCTGCCGAGAAAGGGCCTTTCCTTTCCATTTTCTCTCTACCAATTCCACATTTCTTTTCTAGCCTCCCCAGCACCACCCTAGGCCCAGCACATGGTTAGATGTTTCCTTCCTCTGGCACCTCTGTCCTGCATGTTTCTGCCATGGGGGGAAGCGCCCTCGGCCCTTTCTGCTCAGCCTGCCCAGTGACTATAAGAGTGTTTGATTTCTCCTTGTTTAAAGGTGGTATAGAGTGTTTGATTTCTCCTTTGCTTTGTAAAGGTGCACACCGCTCAGTGCACACCGCCCTCTCTGTAGATCCTCGCGTTACACTTGTCCTCTCACGTTGTAACTTCTTTGTTCTCATGTCCACTGTCTGGCTGGAATGTGAGCTTCATGAATGCACAGATTGGCCTTTACTCATTTTATGTCCACGATACCTGGCACATACTGGGCACAGGAAAGGCCAATAAAATCAGTGTTGGTGAACCAGCACTAAACACTACAGGCAGACTGTGTTTGTCTGGTTGCCAGAGGTCCACTGCCATACAGCGAACTGGACACAGACAACATGGGACTGTGTGGGCTGAAGTACTGTGCTGGATTTAAGAGCGAGCCCATGGATCCCAGAGAAATGGCTTGTTTTCCTGCTTCGGTGCTTTCTGAGGGGGAAAAGAGAGAGCGGGGAGGAATACTTCTGAGTCTTGCTTGCTTGGTCACAGCCATTGCTACCTGGATGATTAATTTAGTTCCAAAAATAACCACAGGAGGCAGGGGTCGGCCTGGTGAGCCTCACAGAGACTGAGTGCCTGGCCCTGGAGCTTGGGCCTACGCCCTGGCATAGGGGTTTAATCCCAAATTGTCCCGTGCCCAGACTGACGTTGAGATGGGAACAGGCTGGTGTGGAGGGCTCCTCTAAGTGGCTGTGGGAAGATCTTCCCTTGAAAGTGGTGCTGGGTGTCGGTTTTTATTTATTTTTAAATTATTAAATACAGTTAGACTGGTAGGTGGAGTGCTGTAAAACAAAGGCAGTCAAATTACAAACAAAGGCATCACAAAATTAGGAACAAGCAATAGACAAAGGAGCTATGAGGCTGAGCTCAGCTCCATGTGGGTGAGGACAGGGCCTGGCTTCTTGGCCAGAGATGAAATAAACACGACTTCAGAATCTGGTGTGGGTGAGATAGTGACTGAGTAAACAGCATCATAGAAAAAGGAATCTGGGAGATTATTCCAGCTAGGAGACTGTGAATGTCTGCATGAGATCATTAAAGTAAAATACTTTTTAGTATGCTTCTTGATCCTGTAGGGCTCTGAGTTGCCTATGCTTTTCAGATTTCTGGAGACTGAAGCTTTCTGAATTGAGTGCTCACTCGCTCACCTGACTATCGCACTTCCCACTCTACTCGAACTCATGCTTCCTGCTTTACAAGCAAACCCACATGTCACAATATTCACTGGGTTTCTCAACTCAAGCCAAACATCAGGAACCTGCTTGCTGGGTGATGAGGGATCTCTGAAACCCACTAGAAAGGACACTTGAATACAAGACAGAATGAAGTCGGGGTCATGGCAGAGAAATACACAAAGCAAAAGGGGTTCCAGCGAAGGAGCAATTAATTTTGAATGTAAATAATAAAAAAGTTCCTGAGTTAGGTAGCAATGAATCTGGACCTTGAAAGATTATAATAATGATGATGATACTATTACTACTAATAATAATTACAGCTAACATTTTTCAACTGCTTGTTATATGCTTACTGCTATGACCTACGACCTTTATTTATTTATTTTTCTCACTTAAACTCAGTGAAAGAAGCTAAGATTGGATGCCTTTTAATTTTTTATTACTTTTTTATTGAAGTAGAGTTGACATACAATATTATATTGGTTTTAAGTTCTATGTACTCTATACATAGCAGCACATTTAATCCTCACAAGTCTATGATGGAGGTGCTGTCATTCTCTCCACAGAGAAAGAAATTCAGTCCCATAGGGCTTAAGTGCCTTGCCCAGAGTCTCATGAGTGAGTCAGGGGCAGAGCGGGGTCCTCACCCGCTCCAAACGGTGCCTTCCTGGCTGTTTCCTCCAAGCCCACTGGAGTTTGGTAGGCGGACGGAGGAGCAGGAATGCTTGGAAGAGGGCATGGCGTGTTCAGGGAACAGTCCCCAACGAGCTCAGTGTGGGCGCGCTGGGGCACTGGCTGGGCACTGGGCTGGGGCGGTGGGAGGAGGCTGGAGCGCAGAGGGTCAGGTGCCCTGCCCACCTGAGCCTCAGTAAGGAGGCAGCCCGGAATGTGGGCTCTGCTGCAGGAGGAAGAGTGACAGTCCCACCTCACTGTTGCTGAATACACGGGCCCTCACCTGGGGACCTCCTCTCCTTCTCCCAGGGCCTCACACCCGCTCCTCCTCTCGCAGCCTCGGTGGGTGTCGCCTTGCCAAGCAGATTGCCCTGCCCTCTGTGTCAGTCCCCCTCTCTTCACTGTCTGTTCCGTCAGGTCACTGCTGCTCCCGTTGGCGCCCAGAGCAGTCTGCACATGCACCGGTGGGTGCAGCCGGCCCTGGGCTCCATCAGCTGTCCCTGCAACCCACTTAGGGTTAAAAATGCCAGGCCTTCACCTCACTGCCATCCTAGGCAGTAATACCTAGCATGGTGCCAGGAACATGCAAACTGGTCTTCATACATCTGTGATTCTTTTACTACCTCCATTTTGTACCCCAAGACATCACAAAAATCAAAAAAGCATCCAAGAGAGAAATACATCTTTTTTACCCATGTTTTGAAGAATATGAAAATATTCCAAGTGTGGCTTCTAATTTCCAGCTAATACTGGGGACCAGAAATGGAAACTGGAAAGGTGTGCCTTATCTTGCCAGTGTTGTGAGGTGGATGGCATTACTGTTACTGAGTCCAGGCTCAGGCCACTCACCGCACGACATGCCAGTAAGTCGAGAGAGACAAAGTGGGGGTGCAAGGAAAGCAACTCTATTTGGAAAGCCAGCAGGCCTAGAAGGTGGTGGACTAATGCCCTAAAGAACCATCTTAACTTAGCGTTGATTTCAAAATTCTTTCATATTAGGTCGGGGGGCAGGAGGAGGTTAGGTCAGGAAGTGATAATCCACTCTGACATCTGCACGTCAGCCAGGGTCTGAGGAGGGTTTTTACCCTTTCGTCCTCAGTTAGTTGATTCCAGTTGTTTTGTTAACATGGGTCTGGTCCTGAGTTCCTCTCAGTCCTTGACAATCCAGCTGTCATTTTTGTACACACTTCTTTATTTCCTCAGGGGAGGTGAGTTTCGGGTAAGGTGTTGGTTGCATTCATCTTAAGTCATGAACAAAATTCCTTTGATGATTAATCAGCCTACCTGCAGGGCGACAGGGCTGAGCAGAAGCTTTCTAACCCAAAGATTACACAGTAGAGGAGACAGAGACAGTGTGAAGGCAGAGATGCCAACTTTCCCACTGTTACATTGTATTTGACTTTCTTGGTGTTTACGGTGGGCCTGTGTTGCTTACTAATTAACTCTGTCACCCTAGAAGCCTCTGTGGACTAGAAGGAAGTTCACCAAAAAAAACAAACCAAAACAAAGAACTTCTAAAAAATTAAAAATAAGTAAATTGTTGCCATAGGTATGGGGGCACCTTGTCTTGGATAAATAGATTATCAGCTAAGATTTGAGTGACTTGGAAGATGGATTACAGAGCAGAATCTCCACCTTGGCAGTTGATACCAAACTTGTAAGAATTCAGATGCCAGCCTAACCAGGATAAAGTGCAGCTAGCTCCAGATTCCACTCAAAAGGATTGAAAAGATGCAGCTGAAATAATTTATAATATTGAAAGAGGAACTCTGAGCTCTCAATTATAACCTGAAATTGCATAAGCAAATTCACAAGTGGAAGCTCTGAAACAAAAGCCACCCAATTTAAAGCAGCAACCAGTTCTCTATTTCTCCTACTCGTTTTCCTACAAACCCAAAGGTTTGCTACTTTCTGAAGTGATGAACAATTTTTGTTAAAGTTCCAAATGAAACAAAGTACAGTCTTCCTTTAATTTATACAACAGTTACATTCTAGAATATTCATAGTACATTAGAACCCTGCAAAAATATACATTTTGTTTATATCAGAGTTAAATTCTATTATCAGATAATTGTAATTTTTTCCCTAATCGACTCATCTGGTAAGATAGTCAGCATTCGTATGGGAATGCAAGACAATTCTTTGTCACTGTGACAACTAAAAATACCCTACAAATTTCTAAAGATGGAAGTGTGGTGCTACCCCCATTGAAAATCTTGAACAAGTCCCCTGAGATGAAGAAATGGTGGTTCAAGTGTGTTAAAAGGAATTTCTCAGCCACCCAGCCAGGCGGGACACTAAGAGGACATTGAAAACCAGAGGAGACATCTTCCTAGGTTTCTGTTAAATCTTGGGATGAATGATCTTGGGGAGATGCTCTATGCACAGAGCTGGCTTCTTACTCTGGGTAATGTTCTACGCAGTAGCAGTTGCATCATTTTGAAAAGTGAACGCTTGTTTAGAGTAGACATGTCAGCAGATTCCCCCAGGTTACAGAAAAAGTGCACTTCCATCGAACAATAGAAGGTGTTACTCATGGTAAATATTAACAAAGTGTTTGAATGACTGATAGTTTATAGAGTCTAGAATCAAAGTCTCTGCAAGTCAAGATTAAAAACACAGTGGGATGCATATTGAACACCTATACTTCTGATGCTCTAAGCTTTAGCTCTGTATTAACTTGAATACCAGAAAGCACGATGTTTGGGTCTTTATTTGAAATGCTTTCAATGAATTATAATTTGGTGCTATATCCTTACCTTTAATTTGAGATCAGTATTATAATGACACATCAGGCACAGTTTTGTACCTTCTGTTGAAGTGCTGCTCAATGGATTGATTGTCTTCTCTGTCCATGTCCTTCATACCTTAAGAATGTCCTCCTTTTTTTTTTTTGGTGTATCAGAGTGCTATGCATCACCTTGACTTCTAGTGTTGTTTTGTTCTGTTTGGTTTTGCCTTGGCTACCACGAAAGGCGGAAATGCATCTAATGTTCGGGTACAATGACACTTCCCTGCAATTCCTGGTAGAATGATCTCCCCTTTTCAGTCTGGCTGCTTGTGTCTCTGACTTTGATTGTCCTCTGTGTGTTTTTATTGTAAGCAGCATCCTATTCTTATTAGAGGTTGGATAGGGTGCAAATTACCAGTCAATCAAGTCATATATCCTAAGCATCTGAACAGTGCCTGGAGCTTGGAAGGTGCTCAATAAATATTTACTGAATGAATGGCTGGATGAACCCAGGAAATGAATTCAATCCCACTTTTCTTCAACGGCCACTAGGGGGAGGATGAGCACTCACTTATCCATGCAGGGCACTTCCCACTCCAGGGCCCCAGGCATGGATGTGGTACTGTTTGTTAAATTGAACCTGGTATTTCCAAATTCCGTAATTGAATCTGGTATTTCCATAAGACATAGCCACATGAATGAGCAAGCATTTGAGTGTTCCAGGATTCTCCCGGTGAGTGCACTGGGTGGTGTCATTTCCAGCCCAGTATCGCGCTGGTCCTGCTTGACAGAGGAGCTGAAGACCAGAGCCAGACAGTGGCGCACAAAAGCCACGTGAAAAGAAAGCTCAGGGCACAGATTGTGTGTTTTGAGCCAAGTGCCAAAATCTTCATTTAAAATACCTAGAATCAGACAATCTAGATAGTTCTTGACCCAGGAGTATGGTTCATAGATTAAAAGTAAGAAGAAAGCAAGGAGAGCCAAGCGGCATGTTTAGAAAAATAGGCTCATAAAGCTGGTTACATAATGGCTAATCTGTACCTTATCACTTGGCATGTGATTACATGCTGTTTTCATATTGTGGATCTTTTCCAGGGACCCAGAGCCTCAGAGACCTGAGACCTGCTAGTTCCATCTGTTCATCCAGAAACTGGGGACCGAGGAGGGTAGAGACTTTGCCTGGTGACGCAGTGAGTTACCAGCCCCAAGGCTAGAGAACCAAGTCCTTGTCACTTTGTCATTTTCTCGCTGTCTAGATCGGAAGCCTGTGAACACTTCCCTGGAAACTAGGGGCTGAGAGCGCCCCTTTTCCTTTTCAGCACTGGGTTTTTCTACTCCTTATGCAGCCTCGGCAGTTTGGGTAACCAGTGTATTTTAACTTTGTTTTACAGTAGAGAAACTGGCACATATAGAATCCCCTGAGCCGTGGGTCTTTAGCATACAGGTCCATGAACTTGGATGTGAAAAAAATCACATCTTTGTTTTCATTCATCTCTATCGAAAATTTAGCATTTCCTTCAATTATGAATATAGGCATCCAATCACAGTAGAACTAGCAGGATTTGTGACTGTCCCCAGTAGAAGTCACAGATGTTTCACGCCCTATTGCATGTTACAGGTACCTCAAAACATTGTTTATAATTGTCACTTCTTGAAATTATGGTGGCCATTAGATCACTGCTACATCAGTGAACATATACATCAATGCATCAGTGAACACATGTATTACTATACTTTAAAAAATATTTCAGTGCAATCGATTTCCTTTGTAACCCAATGTATTTTATTTTATGGATTTCAAAAAGAGGCTTTACCAGACTACCAGAGATTAAGAAAAAAAAGTCAAGAGTCTCTGCTTAAAGAGAATGATCCCTTGGGGCTCTATTAACCTCTCATTTACTGATTTGCTGTGGATCATAAATTAATACAATGTGGATGTGCTGAAGCCCGAGAAAGGGAGTTTAACTTCTAAAGAATTAAAAGGAAACCTGTTACCAAGGAATTCATGTAGATTTGATAACCAAATGGCATCATGGAAAGTATTTTGATTTGATCTACATTTTCTGCATTTTATTGATATGGTCTACCCAGTGTTTTATCAATTCAGTACCATCTTCTTGGCTGGGGGAGGAACAGTTTGAAGGTGACGTGTGCCCAGCATCACTGATGGGAACAGAAGTAGCAAGGATGTGTGCAGAATTTTTCAACTAGCATTAAACAGAAAAAGACTTGCATAGGGCTGTCAGTGAAAACAATCAAATACCATAAATAATTGATAGACTGAAGTTGTGGTGATGTCCCTTCATACATCCCTAGTTAATTAAAAAGTTTCTGAGTTTTGAAGTTAGTTGCAAAAATAATAGCTAGCGGTTGAGGACATCGTTATTCTAATGTATATTCATTTAGGATATGTAAATTAAATATAGACCTTTTTACCTCTAATCACTGACAATACAGGATTTATATTAGAAAAATTCAAATTGGAAGTTTGAGGCTTTAGAAACATGAGAAGGCCAATGTAATAAAAGTTAAGCTCTTACATTATACCCACGGCAGAAACTACAAAGATCTGCCTGTGTGGAATATTGGTCTTTTCTGAACTAAGGCCACAGAGGCACAAACCAGGAAAAAATGATGCCCCTTTTTGTTGTCTGTTCTATGGGAATCGAGCAGGCTGGCTTTAATGATCACTACTGCTGACCTGAAAACATTTGGATGGAGAAGGTTAGCTTCTGTAAATTATTGATATTCTTCTTACTACTATTTGTAATTTCCTTCAGATTGGAGATTACTTCTGCTTTACAGAAATTATCTGCTCTGAGCCATGCATAATTTATAACAATCTCTGGCAAAATGTCAGGAAAAAAGATATGTTTTTGTCTTAGACCGCAGCAGGACCCACTGAAAAGGCTCCCCAGCTGGCATGAAGCTCTGGGAGCCGTGATTCAGACAGAGGGACAGCCTCTCGGGGCTTTCTTCTCCAGAGGAGTGTGCCACAGTTATAAAGGAAAAAAAAAAAAAGAGAGAGAGAGAGAGCGCCACAAGCAAAGCAGTTGCCAGTGCCGTCGGAGAGGAAGCGAGCTCAAGAGCGTGGGGCTGCTCCTGGACTCTCTGAGCTCATCCCCAGGACAGCAGTGCTCCGTCATGGAGTGAAACATCAGCTGGGGTCCTAGCAACGTGAGCGGAAATGGCCCAAGAGGTCCATCTGAGTTCCCTCCAGGAATTAGAACGCGAGGTGATTCTCCAGGTCCTGTACCGAGATCAGATGGTGCAAAACGTCGAGGAGGAAAGGATACGGTATGTGGTCGCTGCCATGGGTGGAATCCTTCGGGTTTTGGCCTTTCCTGCTTGGGGCTTGGACTACTGGGGTGCTGTGGCTTGCTCACTACTCAGCATCTTGTGTGACAAGAGTCCAAACGACGGGTGTAGGTGGCGCGTTACCCCTGCTGCCTAAGCTTTGAAGATGGTAAGGGCAAAGGGAAGCTGCTTTTGTTTTTTATTTAAAATAACACCTTTTGGTGGTCACTTTGCTGCCTGTCCACTTGTCCATTTGCCTGCTTTGCAGGAATAATTCATAGGAAGCTTTTCGGGCTCCCAAAGTATCCCTCGAAGGAAAGACCTCTGGTGAGGGTTTTCCTAGATTATTTAGGTGGCAACTGACAGGCGCAAAGAAAAGCAGAAAAAGCAGCTTAGAAGCAGCGAATGTGCTGGAATCCATTCCCGTCTTTTCCTTTGCCTGCTTTTGCTTCCCGCTGGCTTTGAGGGAAGGGGAGCATGAAATACGAACCTGCCCAGCCTGTTTGCCCGACTGGTTTATCAACTGGCCACTTCTTTCCTGGCCTGTCTCTCAGCTGCCCAGGCTGTGTGGGACTAGTGAGCACTTACTAAGGCCGTGCTAGACTCTGTCAAAACCGTGGCCATTGCTGGCTGTCAAGATCCAGCTTCAAATATGATGCTTTGCATATCGGTGTTTATGGATGATGTGAGGTCTGGCAAATAAGCAGAGGGGACAGGCCTTTTCATTTTGTTTATTTTGAATGGCAGAGCTCTTCCGAGCCTGCCAGGAAAAATACACACATAAAATAAAGCTTTGGACAATCACATGCTGGAGGAATGAGAGGCATTTTGCATCTGAACAGTGCCTGGAGCTTGGAAGGTGCTCAATAAATATTTACTGAATGAATGGCTGGATGAACCCAGGAAATGAATTCAATCCCACTTTTCTTCAACGGCCACTAGGGGGAGGATGAGCACTCACTTATCCATGCAGGGCACTTCCCACTCCAGGGCCCCAGGCATGGATGTGGTACTGTTTGTTAAATTGAACCTGGTTATTTCCAAATTCCGTAATTGAATCTGGTATTTCCATAAGACATAGCCACATGAATGAGCAAGCATTTGAGTGTTCCAGGATTCTCCCGGTGAGTGCACTGGGTGGTGTCATTTCCAGCCCAGTATCGCGCTGGTCCTGCTTGACAGAGGAGCTGAAGACCAGAGCCAGACAGTGGCGCACAAAAGCCACGTGAAAAGAAAGCTCAGGGCACAGATTGTGTGTTTTGAGCCAAGTGCCAAAATCTTCATTTAAAATACCTAGAATCAGACAATCTAGATAGTTCTTGACCCAGGAGTATGGTTCATAGATTAAAAGTAAGAAGAAAGCAAGGAGAGCCAAGCGGCATGTTTAGAAAAATAGGCTCATAAAGCTGGTTACATAATGGCTAATCTGTACCTTATCACTTGGCATGTGATTACATGCTGTTTTCATATTGTGGATCTTTTCCAGGGACCCAGAGCCTCAGAGACCTGAGACCTGCTAGTTCCATCTGTTCATCCAGAAACTGGGGACCGAGGAGGGTAGAGACTTTGCCTGGTGACGCAGTGAGTTACCAGCCCCAAGGCTAGAGAACCAAGTCCTTGTCACTTTGTCATTTTCTCGCTGTCTAGATCGGAAGCCTGTGAACACTTCCCTGGAAACTAGGGGCTGAGAGCGCCCCTTTTCCTTTTCAGCACTGGGTTTTTCTACTCCTTATGCAGCCTCGGCAGTTTGGGTAACCAGTGTATTTTAACTTTGTTTTACAGTAGAGAAACTGGCACATATAGAATCCCCTGAGCCGTGGGTCTTTAGCATACAGGTCCATGAACTTGGATGTGAAAAAAATCACATCTTTGTTTTCATTCATCTCTATCGAAAATTTAGCATTTCCTTCAATTATGAATATAGGCATCCAATCACAGTAGAACTAGCAGGATTTGTGACTGTCCCCAGTAGAAGTCACAGATGTTTCACGCCCTATTGCATGTTACAGGTACCTCAAAACATTGTTTATAATTGTCACTTCTTGAAATTATGGTGGCCATTAGATCACTGCTACATCAGTGAACATATACATCAATGCATCAGTGAACACATGTATTACTATACTTTAAAAAATATTTCAGTGCAATCGATTTCCTTTGTAACCCAATGTATTTTGTTTTATGGATTTCAAAAAGAGGCTTTACCAGACTACCAGAGATTAAGAAAAAAAAGTCAAGAGTCTCTGCTTAAAGAGAATGATCCCTTGGGGCTCTATTAACCTCTCATTTACTGATTTGCTGTGGATCATAAATTAATACAATGTGGATGTGCTGAAGCCCGAGAAAGGGAGTTTAACTTCTAAAGAATTAAAAGGAAACCTATTACCAAGGAATTCATGTAGATTTGATAACCAAATGGCATCATGTAAAGTATTTTGATTTGATCTACATTTTCTGCATTTTATTGATATGGTCTACCCAGTGTTTTATCAATTCAGTACCATCTTCTTGGCTGGGGGAGGAACAGTTTGAAGGTGACATGTGCCCAGCATCACTGATGGGAACAGAAGTAGCAAGGATGTGTGCAGAATTTTTCAACTAGCATTAAACAGAAAAAGACTTGCATAGGGCTGTCAGTGAAAACAATCAAATACCATAAATAATTGATAGACTGAAGTTGTGGTGATGTCCCTTCATACATCCCTAGTTAATTAAAAAGTTTCTGAGTTTTGAAGTTAGTTGCAAAAATAATAGCTAGCGGTTGAGGACATCGTTATTCTAATGTATATTCATTTAGGATATGTAAATTAAATATAGACCTTTTTACCTCTAATCACTGACAATACAGGATTTATATTAGAAAAATTCAAATTGGAAGTTTGAGGCTTTAGAAACATGAGAAGGCCAATGTAATAAAAGTTAAGCTCTTACATTATACCCACGGCAGAAACTACAAAGATCTGCCTGTGTGGAATATTGGTCTTTTCTGAACTAAGGCCACAGAGGCACAAACCAGGAAAAAATGATGCCCCTTTTTGTTGTCTGTTCTATGGGAATCGAGCAGGCTGGCTTTAATGATCACTACTGCTGACCTGAAAACATTTGGATGGAGAAGGTTAGCTTCTGTAAATTATTGATATTCTTCTTACTACTATTTGTAATTTCCTTCAGATTGGAGATTACTTCTGCTTTACAGAAATTATCTGCTCTGAGCCATGCATAATTTATAACAATCTCTGGCAAAATGTCAGGAAAAAAGATATGTTTTTGTCTTAGACCGCAGCAGGACCCACTGAAAAGGCTCCCCAGCTGGCATGAAGCTCTGGGAGCCGTGATTCAGACAGAGGGACAGCCTCTCGGGGCTTTCTTCTTCAGAGGAGTGTGCCACAGTTATAAAGGAAAAAAAAAAAAAGAGAGAGAGAGAGAGCGCCACAAGCAAAGCAGTTGCCAGTGCCGTAGGAGAGGAAGCGAGCTCAAGAGCGTGGGGCTGCTCCTGGACTCTCTGAGCTCATCCCCAGGACAGCAGTGCTCCGTCATGGAGTGAAACATCAGCTGGGGTCCTAGCAACGTGAGCGGAAATGGCCCAAGAGGTCCATCTGAGTTCCCTCCAGGAATTAGAACGCGAGGTGATTCTCCAGGTCCTGTACCGAGATCAGATGGTGCAAAACGTCGAGGAGGAAAGGATACGGTATGTGGTCGCTGCCATGGGTGGAATCCTTCGGGTTTTGGCCTTTCCTGCTTGGGGCTTGGACTACTGGGGTGCTGTGGCTTGCTCACTACTCAGCATCTTGTGTGACAAGAGTCCAAACGACGGGTGTAGGTGGCGCGTTACCCCTGCTGCCTAAGCTTTGAAGATGGTAAGGACAAAGGGAAGCTGCTTTTGTTTTTTATTTAAAATAACACCTTTTGGTGGTCACTTTGCTGCCTGTCCACTTGTCCATTTGCCTGCTTTGCAGGAATAATTCATAGGAAGCTTTTCGGGCTCCCAAAGTATCCCTCGAAGGAAAGACCTCTGGTGAGGGTTTTCCTAGATTATTTAGGTGGCAACTGACAGGCGCAAAGAAAAGCAGAAAAAGCAGCTTAGAAGCAGCGAATGTGCTGGAATCCATTCCCGTCTTTTCCTTTGCCTGCTTTTGCTTCCCGCTGGCTTTGAGGGAAGGGGAGCATGAAATACGAACCTGCCCAGCCTGTTTGCCCGACTGGTTTATCAACTGGCCACTTCTTTCCTGGCCTGTCTCTCAGCTGCCCAGGCTGTGTGGGACTAGTGAGCACTTACTAAGGCCGTGCTAGACTCTGTCAAAACCGTGGCCATTGCTGGCTGTCAAGATCCAGCTTCAAATATGATGCTTTGCATATCGGTGTTTATGGATGATGTGAGGTCTGGCAAATAAGCAGAGGGGACAGGCCTTTTCGTTTTGTTTATTTTGAATGGCAGAGCTCTTCCGAGCCTGCCAGGAAAAATACACACATAAAATAAAGCTTTGGACAATCACATGCTGGAGGAATGAGAGGCATTTCCTGGTTACCTGGAAGGTACACTGTTCTTTTTCTGTCCTCCCCTGTGATCTCAAAGCCCTCTAAATTCTACTTATTCTTGCATCCACTAAACAGCATGTACACCAAACAAAGTGAAATTTTCTCTGATGATGAAAGAATGTTCAGTGATTGAGAAACATCAGTTCGAATATCAACAAAGTAACCTGGATACTATGGAAAGGAAGTTTTATTCCAAAGTGTACCTGTTCTAGGGCAAATCCTGAAAGTCGGAACTGAGCTTGTTTCTTGGGATTAGGTTCTCTCTTCTGAAAGTAGATAATAAGGACATTTCATAAGGGTGTTCTGGTTAATGACACCTTTGAGGGGTCCTATGTAATGTCCCTTTGCAGTAGGGCTGTTGTTTAGGGGAAATAGGGGTGGATATGCACTGACCACCCATAAAAAAAACAGTAGCCAAAGCACAGCATCGGTGAAATAATTGTTTGGGGACCTTAATGACAATAGCAGGCATGTATGCTATATGTTCACAGGTCTTCCCAGGCCTTGCCCTTTGGAATGGTGCCATTTTCTGTATTTTTCCTTTTCTCTCACTGTTCTTGGTTACCATTTTAATGCCCTTGGAGCCCAAAGGTGTGAACCTAGAACAAAATTAACAGCTAACTCCTCTGTGCCGGGCACACTGTCTATGCTTTGCCATTTAATCCTGGTCACAGACCTGGGAGGTAAGGTTCATCTCTCCGTGTCACAGTCAAGAGGCCTCTGAGCCTCTGCTCCAAGAGGGTGAGTGAGAGCCCCGTTCACACAGCCACGTTGGAACCTGGGGTGTCCGGTGCCAAAGCCCCTCCTCTCTTGCCTTGGGCAGTGCTGTTGGGGCCCTTGCCATGTAGGCATATGTCTGGCATCCGTCCTTCCATTCAGGCACATCTTACCACATGACTCTCTGGGCCACAGGAAGCTGAAGACGAGTCTGCAGCATCTGAGGTGGAGAGGCGCGAAGGGCGTGAGCCGGGAGTACAGAGAGAAGTCCTGTGCCCGCTGCCAGCGGGCGCTGGGGCTCCTGCTCAACAGGGGCGCCGTGTGCCAAGGCTGCAGCCACCGCGTGTGCTCCGAGTGCCGAGTGTCCCTGAGAAGGACCCACTCCTGGAAGTGCACCGTGTGCTTCGAGGACAGGTGAGGGCCCCGCAGCGGCCAGTGCCTCCCACAGACTCAGGCCTCGAGCGGGTCTGACACGAGCTCTGGTAACCAGAGCCACTGCTCCTTAAATTCCGCTGGTAAATGTTTCTGGAGTGCTGAATACAGGGCTACCTTTCTAGAATGGGAAGCTATTGTAGTTTAAAAGTAAATTATATTATGTGAAAACTTAAAAAAAAAATTTACAGAAGTTTGTTTGTAATGGCTAAGGACAGGCCAAGAGTTAAGGTTCATTTGGATTTCTTAACTAGGTGACTTAAGTTTTCTCAGAGCTTAGTTTATCTCTTTCAGGAAAAATGGAGTGAATTTAACATAGGAAATATTAAAGTGATCCTGGGCAGCTTTATTTTTTAAAAATATTTTATCCAGGTGTAAGTGATATATAATATTATATTGATTTCAGGTATACAATATAATGATTCAATATTTGTATATGTTATGAAGCAACTACCGCAATAGGTCTAATGGCCACCCATCTCCATACAAACTCTTAGAATTTAGTCACTTGGTGACAGTTAGGTGTACACTACAATATCATTGACTGTAGTTGCCATGCTATACATTGCATCTGAGAACTTAATTATTTTATAACTAGAAGTTTCTACCTCTTGACTCCATTTACCCATTTTGCCCTCTCCTCAAAGCTCCTTCATTCTGACAACCACCGTTCTGTTCTCTGTATATATGCGTTCTGCTTTTTGTTTGTTTGGTTTTGTTTTTGTAGTCCATGCCTAAGTGAAATCATATAGTATTTGTCTTTGTCTGACTTATTTCACGTAGCAAAAATGCCCTCAGAGTCCATCCATATTGTTGCAAATGGCAAAATTCTATTCTTTGTTAAGGCTGAGTAGTATTCCCTTATATATATATATATATATACCATCCCTTCTTCATTCTTCTGTTGATGGGCACTTAGGTTGTTTCCATATCTTGGCTATTGTAAATAATGCTGCAATGGACATACAGGTGCGTATATCTTTTTGAACTAATGTTTTTGTTTTCTTTGGAGAAATATCCAGAAGTGGAATTGCTGGATTATATGGTAGCTCAATTTTTAGTTTTTTGAGGACTCTACATACTGTTTTCCATAGTGGCTGCACCAATTTACATTCCCATCTACAGGGCATGAGGGTCCCCTTTTCTTCACCTTCTAACCAACACTTGTTACTTCTTGTCTTTTTTATTATAGCCATTCTAACAGTGTGAGGTGATATCTCATTGTAGTTTTATTTGCATTTCCCTGATGATTAGCAACATTGAGCCTCTTTTCTTGTGCCTGTTGGACATCTTCATATCTTTGTTGGAAAAGTGTATATTTGGGTCCCTTGCCAATTGTTTAATATGATTGTTTTTTTTTTCTGTTGAGTTGTGTAAGTTCATTATATATTTTTGTATATTAATCCCCTATCTGATACATGATTTGCAAATATTTCCTCCCATTCAGTAGGTTGCCCCTTCATTTTGTTGCTGGTGTCCTTTGCTATGCAGGAGCTTTATAGTTTGATTTTCTTTTACTTGTTGATTTTTGTTTTTGTTGTCTTTGCTTTTGGAGTCAGATCTAAAAATTCATCACCAAAACTGATGTCAAGGAGCTTACTGCATATGTTTTCTTTTAGGAGTTTTATGGTTTCAGGTCTTACATTCAAGTCTCCATTTTGAGTTAATTTTTGTGCATAGTATAAGATAGTGGTCTAGTTTCATTCTTTTACATGTAACTGTCAAATTTTCCCAAGACCACTTATTGAAGATATTGTTTTTTTCCCCCCATTGTATATTCTTACTTTCTTTGGGGTAAATTAATTGAACCATATATATGTGCATTTATTTCTGGGCCCTCTATTCTGTTCATTGAGCTATCTCCTTTTATGCCAGTACCATACTGTTTTGATTGCTGTAGCTTTGTTAAATAGCTTGAAATCAAGGAGTGTGATGCCTCTAAATTTGTTCTTCTTTCTCAAGATTGCTTTGGCTATTCAGGTCTTCTGTGGCTCTATACAAATTTTAGGATTGTTTGTTCCATTTTTGTGAAAAATGGCATTGGAATTTTGATGGGGATTGCATTGAATCTGTATATTGCTTTGGGTCATAAGCATATTTTAACAATATTAATTCTTCCAATATCGAGCATGGGATATCTTTCCATATACCATGTGTTCTTTAATTTTTTTCATCAGTGTCTTATAATGTTTAGTGTACAGGTCTGTCACCAATTTGGTTAAATTTATTGCTATTCTTTTTGATGCAATTATAAATGGGATTGTTTTCGTAATTTTTCTTTGTGACAGCTCATTGTGGGTATATAAAAATTTAGCTGATTTTTATGTCATTGATTTTGTACCCTGCAACTTTACTGAATTTGTTTATTCTAACAGTTTTTATGGTGGAGTCCTTAGGATTTTGGATATATAAATTCATGTCATCTGCAAATAGCTAGTTTTACTTCTTCCTTTCCATTTTAGTTGCCTTTTATTTCTTTCTCCTGCCTAATTGCTCTGGCTGGAACTTCCAGTACTATGTTGAATAAGAATGATGGGTACACTTTTCTTGTTCCTGATCCAGAGGGAAAGTTTTCAGCTTTTTACTGTTGAATTTATATTTGTGGGCTTGTCGTATGTGGCCTTTATTATGTTGAGGTACTATACCATTTGAGAGAGTTGAGAGTTTTTATCATGAATGGATGTTGAATTTTGTCAAATGCTTTTTCTGCATCTATAACAATCTATTTTAAGTTAATGGCAACTTAAGTCTGAATACATTCTAAAACTCTACATTTTTACTCCCCACCATGTTTTATGCTTTTGATGTCTCATTTTACATCTTTTTGTGTATCCATTAACTAATTATTGCAGTTATAGTTAATTTTACTACTTTTATCTTTTAGCCTTCTTAGATTTATAAGTGATTAAACTACAACCTTTACTATGTATTTAACTTTACTATTGAAATTTTTACTTTCATATGTTTTCTTGTTACTAATAAGTGATTTTTCTTTTCAGCTTAAAGAAGTACCTTTGGCATTTCTTGTAAGGCTAGTTTGATGATGATGAACTCCTTTAGCTTTTGCGTGTCTGAGAAACTCTTTCTCTCTCCTTCAGTTCTGAATGACAACCTTGCCAGTATTCTTGGTTGGAATTTTTCCCCTTTCAGCCCTTTGAATATATCATGCCATTCCTTTCTGACCAGAAAAATTTCTTCTGAAAAGTCTGATAGTCTTATGGAAGTTCTTTGTATGTAACAAGTTATTTTTCTCTTGCTGCTTTTAAGACTCTCTCTTCATTTTTAATTTCTGACATTTTAATTATAATGTTTCTTGGTGTACATCTCTTTGGAATCATCTTGTTTAGAATCCTCTGGGCTTCCTAGACCTGAATGTCTGTTTCTCTTCTTCAGGTTTCCAGTAATATTTCTTCAAATAAGTTTTTGACTTCTTTTTCTCTTTCCTCCTTCTGGGACTCCTATAATGCCAATATTATTCTGCTTGATATTGTCCCATAGGACCCTAAACTGTCTTCACTTTTTAAAATTCTTTTTTCTTTTTTCTGCTCTGTTTAGGTGAGTTCTACTGCTCTGTCTTCTAGATCACTGATCCTTTCTCCTGCTTCATCTAGTCTGCTGCTGAACCCCTTTAATACATTTTTCAGTTCAGTTACTATATTCTTCAGCTCTGTGACTTTTGTTTGATACTTTCTTATATTTTCTCTTTGTTGACCTTCTTCCTGTGTTCATCCATTTTTCTCCCAAGTTTGTTGAACATCTTTATAACCATTACTTTGAATTCTTTGTCAGGTATGTTACTTATCTCTGTTTCATTAAGTCAAACCTTTTTGATTGTCTAAGCAACGTGATTTATTTGAAAGGTTCCTGTTGTTGAGGGTGTGACAAGACCTGTCATTGTTCCAAAGGAAGGGATCTCAGTTAGCACCTAGGTTCAGGCTGATTGGAAGCCAGACCCTCAAGAGAAGCTTTTAAAGAATACAAATATATACAGTCCTGTGGGGCTCAAATTGTAAACCCTGTTGGCCTCTAGACCAGGAGATCTAAAGGTGTGCCCTGGGGGACAGTTGCAAAACTTGGGGCTCCACAATGATATATAAGCCCCTTTGTGGGAGGTACGAGTGAGCTATAGTGAGGCCAGGGGAGAGTGTAAGGATGTGTCTCCTTGCGTATGTTCCCTGAGAACTGAGAGCTCTTTCACAGTCTCTAGATGTGCAGCAAACCTGAAGCCTGCCCCTTAGGCAAAGCTCCTGGGCAACTAAATTGGTCTTTTTCGCAGGAAGACTGGGGTTGTGTGTCAGTCTATTGTCTGTACAGTGTCCAGGTGTGGTAGCCTGCCAACAGCTGTCTTTCCAGCTGTTACAATCTCATGGAGCCTAGGAACACGAGCCCCGCCAGGGCCAGGCAATCAAGGGGCCTCCCCTATGTGGACTGCATGCCTGCCAGCTTCAGCAATGCAGCTGGGGAGTGTGGTGGCAGGGCACAGCCCCTGGCTCCAGCAGGCAGTGGGCGGGTGCCAGGATCTTCCACCTCAGGCCCCAGCAGGGCAGCGGGAGTGTGCTGCAGCTGCATGCCCCTGCCGACTTCTGCAAGGCCGTGGGAGAGTGCCACAAATCCTTGCCCTGGCAGGGCCCAGCGAGGCAGCTTCCGTGTACACCTGCCTGCACCTGCGGGGTCGAGAAGAGTGCAGAAGTGGTGCTTGCCAGGGCTTCTGTCTTTAGAGAGAGTCCCAGCTATCTGCTGCCCCTCCAGGAGGGGTTTAAGATTAGCAAATGAATCTCCCTCACAGAGAGCTGAGGTGCTTTTCAAACTGCTGCTTTTGCCCTGGGTCCCAGGGTGAGTGCAAATCCTTCAAAAGGAGTATCTCAGTTCCCTACTGCCCTTTGGGTCCCTGGGACAGAGGCCCCCTTCTCTAAGCCAGACGTTTTGGGGGCTCTCTCTGTGCAGGGGTGCCTGATGTGGGGCACAGATCCCTCACTCCTCCA